GAAGGTCCATATAATACAAATATGGACTTTTTAGTGGTAAAATATAAGTATATTCGTGAATGTAAATATATTTTCAACATTTCTACCTTTAATCAAAATCGTAAAAAAAACAACCTTGTATTTAGCTAGTATACTGAAACACTCAATCGATTTCGAGGGCAGCTAAATGTCCCTCCTCATCAGGAAAATACCACTAGAAGAAGAAAATAAAGGAGAAGAGTCTCAGAAACACGTGGTCCTTATCACACTGCACGTGGTTATAAGGATTTTTAATCAAAGTTGCACTGGCCGCCCTACTTTACTAGCCAGGTATCTGATCAAGCATAAATGACAAGAAAAATTAGTGAAGTTAAAATAGGGAGCGAGGGGCAAATGCACCTTCACGCTCAAAATCTGAACTTCAAATAATATTTGATCTGAGAGGTTATGCTGCAGTTCTTTGATAATAATACTTATGCACAACCTCTTGGGCAGACACTGCGCAGCTTGAAGAACTCAGTTCAGTAAAATTAATTCTTAGGAATGAATGGCGAACACTATTGCAATGGATTTCGTTATAGAACAATGATAGAAAACAAACTTCAAATGCAAAAACTCAAAATATTATAATTAATTTAATTGAAAACTGTTTAGAAGGTTGTTGAAAGTAATCATACCTAATATATATAAATCCCGTCTTTGTAGGTGCAGTAATATCCAAGTTATGAATTTTTGAAGGAGAAAAAAAAAAACCACGAGATTTTTTTGCTCCAAAACTTAGCCCTAGCAGGACGACCACATGGTTATGGGTGGAGGCCTTGCTGTCGAGATGTCCGCATGTAGGTGAGCACAACATCCGTGCTTTTTACGGAACAAAAAAATTGCAAGAAATTGGTTATAACTTTCACAATAATAATCACATTGTTATGCAACACGTATCAAGATGCAGAGAAGCACTTCACACACAAGATATAATTTATTGCGCACACGAAAATGTTCAAGAAACAGGGGGAAAATCACATTTGTCACAGAGATCAAAGAAGCACGTCCTTCCACTACGACGGCTATGAGCTCACTTGGTAAGATAATACAGTACAAAATCGAAAATCCGGACCTCAAAACCACGACCAGCATTTTTCTCGTAGGCTTTTATGCATGCGCATTTGATTCGCTGATTTTTGTATCCACCACCCTTAAATTTATCCGCCTTTTTTGTTACTGGACTTTTCATCTTCTCCTGCCCCATCTGAGCATAATAAAACATGCGGAGAGTCCCAATTCTTAATTTCCCTTCGACATTAAATAAAATACCTTGTTATTGAAGAAAATCATTTTAGCATAAATTTGTACGATCAGTAATCCGACTCCGTTGCTGCGTATCTGCTTGCCACACATCTCAAACCGAAACATTCCACATAGATACATCATCGTTTATCTGACGCCAATCTGGCAAATCATTATTTATTATACTTTCCTTTCATCACCGAATGTTTATCAAAACATGACAACTTGTGTAATGACTCATGGTAGCAATGCCTAAATAAATTTTTCATGTTAGTAATTGAATAATAAAGGAGTATGGTAACCTTTTATGTTAACATTACGCTTAGCAATGGCTACAAAAATGTTGAGGAGGAAAAATTTACCAAAAATTTCTATCCATATGATAAAAGCAGATTGTGTTGACGATACTCATAGACCCAAAGATTACATTTAGGGCTATTGAATTAAGAATAAAATGATTTGTTATCACATAAACCCAGAAACCGCGGGGGGTCGTATGGCAACCAAGTCGCAGAATTTAGGCCTACAAAGAGGCATCAGCAGTAAGATATATAGCGCTGGCCTCAATTAAGGCTTTAAGTATGTGGAATTTATTTATTCGAACTTCAAGCCTAAGCATTGTACAAAGAAATAGACTAAGTATAATAAATAACTAAATAATACAATTCAGGATTATTGTCTCAGTGCGCGATAGAAGCAAGATAAAATTTGGAAAACTTCGTTAGCCGCCAAGCTCATGATGCTAGCCAAATATGGGATGGATTAGCTAAATTTGACAATGAAGCCAATAATTTAAGGGTTTTGGATATCACAAAAAAAAGCAAAATTTTGCAATTAACGGATTTTGTAAAGAAAAATGTAGAGAAAGCGGTTAATAAATGAAGATGATATAAAAGAAGTTTTCAATGTGATGTCATCCTTCTTCAATCATCAATCAATTAATGAATGGCAAATCGTAGTATGGTTCTAGATCCAGAAAATACTGCTACTGATAGTAAAGAATGTGACACAGAAGTTACTGAAAACGAGAAAATTTCAATTGACAAGTTAGTCGCAATTCTCAAATCAGCAATTACAGGACTTCAACAAAGTAATTAAACAAGAGATTATATCTGTCTACAGAATTAAAGAGAAAGTATTAGCACAAAAAACGAACAACTTACATTGAAAGAAATGTTTAATAAGGTAAACAAATAAATAGTAAGCTTTTTTTTTTTTTTTTTTTCCTGTAAATTTTGATACCCTTTTAGATCTAAATACAATTATTTCATAAATCATGATTTTCATATTTAATTTTATAATTTCTACCATGCGTTAGATTTAAACTGATGATCTAATATCCAGAAAAATCCATATCTGGAATGCCGAAGGCCGATATACTTCGTACTGTATAATAAAGAATAAAAAAGAAAGGAACCAAGATGTATTTGTGAATGCCCATTAAAAAGATAATCTTTTATGATAACTGTAAATATAAAAATAATGAAAGAAAATGTAGGAAAAAAAAAAAAAACTCATTTTACAAAAAAAAAAAAAAAAAAAAAAAAAAAAAAAAAAAAAAAGTAAAATTAGTAATTGTTTCAAGGCACTTACGTATTGTAACGAAGTAATGCCTTAAAAGCAAATGCCTAAAAAGAATTTTATGATAACAGTAAATATAAGATGAAATATCAAACAAAATATATTTGGAAATAAATATAAAATGTGGTTAAGTTAATTGATTATTGGACATTACAAAAACCTACAGCATTAAATTAAGCAATTTAGAAACATCAACAAGAATGAAAAAAGAATAACATCTATTTCCTATTTTTCAAGTCCCCAGTAAATAAATTCTCACTTATTTGGGCACAAAACTCACCACATATGCTTTTTTAAGTACCCAGTAAATAACTGCTCACATAATTGGGCACAAAATGACCAAATTTCACACATTCCGCAGCACTTCACTTACGCATTGCTGAAATCCTGAATTCATTGCCAAGTCAAACATACATATACAGTCAAAAGTCGTTAATCCGGACTCGTCGGGACTTCGGCGATTCCGGATTATCGATTTTTCCGGATTATAGATCATCAGTTTAAATCTGGTAAGATGGCATGCAAAAATTACAAAATTAAAAATATGAACGTAATTTATGAAATAAAGAACAATTATGATCTAAAGGGTATCAAAATTTACAAAAAGAAAAAGCTTAATATTTATTGTTTACTTTATTAAACATTTTCCTTCAAATGTAAGTTGCTTCGTTTCATGTGATAATACTTTCTCTTTAATTCTATTTAAACAGACGTAATTTTTTGTTTAGTTACAAAGTTCCGCTGTTCAAGTCCTAAATTGCTGTTGAGAATACCGACTAATTTGTCAATCGAAATGTTTTCGTTTTCAATAACCTCTGGGTCACTTTCTTCACTATCGGAAGCGAATTATAAGACGAGGAACTTGATTTAAATCATATCAAAGACGGAGTACATCGAGACGAAATACTAACACTTAGTACGGAATTATAATCCAAATAAAATAAAAAATCTGCCTGAAGATAAGGATAGTGTTGACAGATCAACTTTCCAATCCGCGGCGTGAAATTATAAACAGATTTCGGATTTCAAAACATACTTTCGCTTTGTAGATACAAATTACATATTAGTAAATATATATTGGAAATTCTATTTGACATAATCTTTTAATCTATCATAATCTAATAATGACGTTTCTGCCCCCACTTGCCGCAGAGCAGCGTGAAATTGATAAACAGATTTCGGATTTCAAAAACATACTTCGCTTTGTAGTAAATATATATCGGAAATTCTATTTGACATAACCGAAAGTTTCAAGCTTACTTTTATAAAATTGCTCTAACAGTCTGCAAAAAATAATAAGCCGGATCCAATTTGAAGATTAAGGAACAACGCAATCTGAACATTAACTGAATTAGATAACTTTAGCTTAGGCGTATAACTCCGTTATTAAACATTAAACGCGCATGCGCACAAAAATATTCGAGCCGTAAGGGTCTTACGCGCCTCGTAAACGCCTGTGCGCATGCGTGAACGCGAAGCATGCGCAGAAAGTTTGTAGCTTTGAGGTCCGGATTATAGATCATTCCGGATTATGGGTGTCCGAATTAACGACTTTTGACTGTATGTGCTTTGGCCAACTGATGAAGATTGCCACACTGAAAATATGCCTATTGCACATATATGAAGCACACAATGCTAGGGCTAGACGTTGTTCTGGTTCCACCTGTATAATTCTAGCACATGCACTAACCAGTCGAAGGGAGGGATTTTTACAAGGGCATAAGATGGTAGGGATTCTGAAAGGTTGTAATGAGAAATACATTTAGTAATGTTCTTGGGGAGGGGTAACATAAGAATATTTGGAAATTCAAACGAGGAGTTTTCTTCCGCAAAGAAACAGTTGGCGACGACAGTGCCTTTTTTTATGCCAAGCTCGCCAATGATAATGGCTTTAGAGATAAAACATGATATAAAGGATATGTAAGTCAATCTTGGTGTTCTAAACAATGATATTTATTGGACAGCATGTTGCTAAGCACATGCAAGTTAAATTTACTTTGTTAAAAACATGATAATCAGTACAATTAAATTCAATTAGCAGAAAAGCGCATTAAGCATATGCATTTGAAAATTAACTGGTTCAACATGGTATTTAATACAATTCAGGTTGGTAGAAAAGCATGATGTTAAGCATATGCAAGTAAAGATTAAAAAAATATAGTAAAAGCTATTATTCAAATATATTTCTAATTATACTATTATAAAAGAGTTTAAAATTTTGTATGCTTATAGCTAGCAATACTTCATTTCTTTTTCCAGATTATTATGGCCTTGAAAAAGGGCCACATTTTTTTCAAAAACCTATGCCATTAAAAGTATATTGCCGAAATTCCTTAAAAGAATTACTTTAGTTAAAATTTCCATGAATAGATATTGCCATTATTTTAAACTTAGCAACAAATTAGGTATTCAAGTACGTGATCAGCTAAATTTTCCTTGTGAAAAAACACTTTTTTTTTCAAACTTTTACTTTTAGAGGCTGCTTGTTTGATTCTTTAGATTGGATATATGCACCAGCAGCCAGATTAATGAAATTAGTGGAATGATTAACAGTCTGATGCACATAATACCACGTCTGCCAATAATGAATATGTCCACCATTCATCATTCATAATAGTTATTCACTCTGCCACATGCTTCTTAAACAGTGCCATTAAAATCTCCACTGATCTGTTGTTTGCTCTGAACATATTTTCGATGAAGGCAGTAATCCTTCTGAGACGCACCACTGCAGGCAAACATCTGTCTCAGACAACATACTAAACTGAAAGAAAATAATTCCATCTATTCATATTTAAAAAATTTAGGAAAAATAGCATGGAAATCAGAAAAAATAATAGCAAATTGGTAAAGAACAAATTACACAGGCAAAGCTGAATAATGAGTCTGATGCAACAACATGCTAAATTATGAACAGCAATGTCAGGAACCAAACACTACGTAAGAGGAATGGTAGCTACAGACGAACATGTAAATCTGTTAGGTACACTGCAGAGAAAAAAAAAGGGACAGTTCTATATGTCCCATTCTATTGGGCCGGTTGACGAAATTAAAATTGTGTTTTTCTTGTCTCAAAAGCACGACTTAGAATATACATTACATTTATATGTAGCATTGTTCTAACATAGGGATTTTGACACAAAATGGGACTTTTCTGAAATAACATACCAATGTTTTCCCATATTTCGATTCTACGACTCAAATTATGCCTAAATGTAAAATTTTGTAAAATTTGGTGCAGAATTTACTGAGAAATTCAGGCATTCTTGGCAGAATTTTTTCGGTTTGCACCAAGAATAATTCACTTGGCGAACTTCTTAATATATGGTAACCTATTTTCCTTTTCCTTCCACTGTGCAGGAGTCGAAAAAAGTCACATCGTTCCTACCTTTTTACATTGTGCATGAGAGGAAAAGAAGTCACATCGTTCCAACTTTCAAATAATTTTAACAAAGTGCCTAAACCACATTTGCTACGAGGAATGTTTATGTAACATACTCACAATTTGACTAAATTTTTGACACAGCATTTTCTTCTGAATAGGCAGTGCAGAGTGGCTACATGATAATATCCCATTTACCAACTGATGCATGTGAAAACACCACCTATCTATATCTGCCCACATAATGTGAAAGAGTACAGGAGAGCAAGGATCACTATTATCACAAATGTGCACATCAATGCAACACAATGTATGACCAATGAGTGATTTGTAAGAGTTTATATGTTGAATTACTCACATGATGCTAACTGGGAGGGGGAATGAAGCCATTCAATCATGCTTAGACTTTTGATGTATGGTAACAGATTACGAAAAACATTTTATAACTATCAGAAAAAAAGTACATTTAGAGATTTTATTAAAAATGAGACACGTTTGATAGTTTTATAAAAATGATTAGGTAACCAAAAAATATCGAAAAAAGGGTAGTGTCACATTCAAAATGTTAGCTATAGTCAACCAAGTCAAATTGGATATTTTTATAGTCATAATTTATGATACATGGTAGAAAACAAAAATAGATTTTATATGCAAGGAAGTATACCAACCTAAAATTATACAAAAGCCAACCTTCCAATGATTTTAATTAAATTATTTATTTGCATCTCTTCTGTACATTTCAGCACAGCAGTCTCAAATTTTATCCAAAAATTTCAAAGCATGTTTGAATGCATTGACAATACACAGATCATTCACTTTCTAAACTCATTCTTAGTTATAAAACTCAGGATAACTTCTGCAGCATAAAATATGAAAAAAAAAAAAAAAAAAAAAAAAAAAGAAGTAAATGAAGCACCAGTAGTTAAATGCTTTATATAACAAATTCAAAACTCCTACATGTATACTGATGAATTTGCCCTCCTCTACAAGGGAGAAAATATTTACAAAAATCACATGCATTTTATCCTATTTGCTTAGCAATTATAGTAAAAGTCGAAGTATCCAGCATTCAATTGACAGAATTATTTTTAATGAAAAACTAAGAAAATGAGACTTGCACAACCATCATAAAGCAAACAGGACTACGACTTTTACAAAAAGCTGTCACCTTTCCCATTTACAGAAAATGATCAAAATTTGAGACCTTCTCTAAATAAATGGTGTGCAATGAGGCATTTTTAAAATTACAGGTTTCAACTGTCAAGAAAATTATGCATTAATGTGTACTCTATATGTGATTTTATTTGAAAAGGAATACACAATGGCAATGTAACATGAAAAATTACGACACTAATTAAATTTATTATATGCTATATCTGTAACTTGTAGCTCTTAATTATCTAGCTAATTTCCCCCTCCCCTTCACATTTCTGCCAGAATAGTTGCTACAAGTTTGGTGGGATTCATGCTAGTTTTCATGGTCAATGGGATTTCATAAGCAATTTTACTTTTATATGTTTAAATAGGCTTATAAAAATATGTTGGCAGCTTTATGTCTGAAATACATATTTTGCAAATCTTCATTTAATAGAATTCTGGCAACCAGTTTACTTCTTCTGACATCATTTTTTCCAGTTGTAACTCTAGGCTGAATTATGTTTTTGCTAGAATTTTTCCATATTCTTACCATTCCAATAGAATGAAAATACTTCACTTCTGCCACAGAGATGAAAATTTCATACTAAAATGTTTAAAAATGACTGTCAGCAGAACAAATAACTCATGGATTTTGGAGATTCAGTTTGCTTTTTGATTCTGGGCCTAATTAAATTTCCAATAAAATTTTTCATAAGTATTTCAAATCAATGAAAATGCTTTACATTTGAAATAAGGACCAAAAACAGGTGCCAAAATGTACAATGCCTATTAACTGAAACTGCAATCAAAACTTTTACTGAAATAGCATATTTGGTTTGATTTATTTGAGTATAAGAAAGCACACAAAGGTTATTTGTCCAAAAGAAGGAATGTCTTTCTGAAGAACTTTCTAAGAGAAATTGGTTTGCATCCATATACAGTCAAAAGTCGTTAATTCGGACACCTATAATCCGGAATGATCTATAATCCGTACCTCAAAGCTACAAACTTTCTGCGCATGCGTCTTAAGACGCATGCGCGCAACACCTTTACGGCTGCGAATATGCGTGTGCACGTGCGCAAAATATGTTTACGAATGAGCATTTAATGTATAACGGACGGTATAAGCTAAGCTAAAATTACCTAATTATCTATTACAGTTAATGTTGCAGATTGCGTTGTTCCTTAATCTTCGAATTGGATCTGGCTTATTATTTTTTGCAGACCGTTAGAGAAATTTTATGAAAGTAAGCTTGAACTTTCTATTATATCAAATAGAATTTCTGATATATATTTACTAATATGTAAAGGATCTACAAAGCGAAAGTATGTTTCGAAGTCCATTAAACAAAAAGTGGAATTGCTGCGAAAAATGGATAAAGGCATATCCTTTGTTTATCTAAACTTTAACGTTTGTTTATCTAAACTTTGTTTATCTTTAATGCCGCGGCACGCAATGAATTGGAAGTTGATCTGTCAGCACTATCCTTATCTTCAGGGCAGATGTTTTTATTTTATTTGGCTTATAATTCCTTACTAAATGTAGTATTTCATCTCGATGTACTCCGTTTTTGATATGATTTAAATCAAATTCCTCGTCATTATAATTCGCTTCCGATAGCGAAGAAAGTGACAGAGGTTATTGAAAATGAAAAAATTTCGATTGACAAATTAGTCGGTAGACACAGCAATTATAGGACTTGAACAGTGGAACTTTGTAACTGAACAAGAAATTATGTCTGTTTATAGAATTAAAGAGAATATATTAGCACATAAAACGAAGCAACTTCAACAACTTACATTGAAAGAAATGTTTAATAAAGTAAACAAATAAATATTAAGCTTTTTTTTTTTTGTAAATTTTGATACCCTTTAGATCATAATTGTTCTTTATTTCATAAATTACAGTTTCATATTTTTAATTTTATAATTTCTGCATGTCATCTTACCAGATTTAAACTGATGATCAATCCGGAATCGCCGAAGTCCCGACGAGTCCGGATTAACGACTTTTGACTGTACATGTAAAACTATGGAAACATCCATACAGCCAGTTCATTTGCCTGTAGTCACACTCAGCGCCGGATTTCTGCGTAGGCCTTAATCCGCCGCTGGTGGTAAAATCTTTACATAAGCTCAAAAGCCTGGCTTGCATTACCAAAAATAATATTATAATGAATATTTTTACTATGTTTAGCCAAAACAGGACGCTCATAATATAACTTACAGCCCTGTGTGCAACAAAGCTAGAATTAGGCCTCTTTGTTTCCCCTCTCTCTTGTAAGTCGTGTTCTGCACCAACTGTCAAGCTTCAAACATTGCACAGAAAGCAAATTTCATTCCACTGCACAATGTACGTGTATGCAAGATCCGCCTACTTAGGACTGTAATTTTTTAGCCTAACCCTTTCACACGAGTTTACTCTCCTGTCTTTAGTCTTCTTGTGTCGATGGTTAAGATATGGTCATTCATCTCGTCCACAGCTCACATATAAAACAATGACGGACGAGAGTTTCCTATTGTTTAATGACCCTCTTTTATATTCGTTACAGAAATTACCGGTGTCACGACATCTGACTTCAATAAAAAACTAAGCAGGCTCGAGAAAAGAAAACGGAATAAAGAAAAAGAGCTTCTTTGTAATGTTCCTAAGTTAAAAATATTTTTCGTTTCGTTCTACGTCTAGACTTAGTCCTAGTACTAGTAATCCTCACTCTAGTCCTAGTACTAGTAGTACTAGTGCATTTAGCCAGTGGCAGTTACAGTGATGCTGCTGCTAACCGTCAACAGGCAACTCCAACATTTCTGGATCTCCAAAATCTCTAACTCTGGATCTCCCAAATATGCACCAAGTGTTCTTCCAGTTATATCACACACACATGCAGAAAGGAGGAAAAAAATATCTCATACACTGCCCTTTTAAAGAGCAACTGGGGATGACAGTGCCCAATCACCAAATTCTGACTTGATGAATTATTGCTCACCACTTTTTGTTCAAGAACGACTTATAGAGTCTTCTAGAATCGTTCGTTGTCAGGTAAGAAAAGAAATTTGCAATGCCCTCAACTGAATTCAAACTCTGGAACTCCTGAATTTGAGTCAAGAATGCTTACAGTTACATCATAAAGGGAGAAAATACATTATACAGTACAAAGTCCGTAATCCAGATTCGTCGAGACTTCGGCGATTCCAGATTAAGGGATTTTCTGGATTATCTTGGATATTTCTGGATCATCAATTTAAATCTGGTAAGATGGAATGCAGAAATTATACAATTAAAACTATGAAACCGCAATTTATGAAATAAAGAGCAATTATAATCTAAAGGGTATCAAAATTTACAAAAAAAAGCTTAATATTTGTTTGTTTACTTTATTAAACATTTCTTTCAATGTAAGTTGTTTAAGTTGCTTTGTTTTTTGGTGCTAAACGCACATACGTAAAGCATACCAAAAAAAAGTTTGTGGCTTTCAGGTCCGGATTATAGATCATTCCAGATAATGGACGCCGGGATTTTCTTTAATTATATATATAAATACATGCACACATAAAATAATTAATTTAAAAGAAATTAAAATATGAAATAAGTTTCTTTTGACCTCTGAATTCACAATTGTGGTATCTTCTTTAAAAAAAAAAAAAAAAAAAAAAAAAAACTACGAAATTTATAAGGTAACGTTAAAATAGTTCAAACTAAATTATGGAACATATTTTATTAAATTAATAAAAAATGGTTGCAAATATATCTCTTAAGACATAAAACAGTATTTGGCAAAGGTTTTTGTTATATGCATGGCAAATTGTTACTTTGAAAGTTTTAGAATGCTCCTGATCATCTTCAGAATATTAACTAGCAATCTTTATCGTCATAAAAACTGTCGCTAAAGTATGTATTCCAAGAATTAATCACATACTTTACCTTTAAATGTCACATAAAAACTTTGATATTCAAAAGGATGACTGTTCTCACAAGTTTAGATTAGAGGTTTCTTCTTCTATTCCTTTGGTTCTTCTATCATAAATTACATTTTTTATATGCTCAACTACCCACCAATTTCCAAGCTTTCCCTGCCCTTTTAAACTCATTTAGGTTAACATCATCCCATTAAATGCAATTTTTATACTGCTAAATGCAGAAATCCAGTAAAATGCTTGTGGATCATAGGCGTTATTTTCTGTTCCTTCATGAAACCACTACAGAAATTCCAAGTTTAACAGGTGAGAATATTGATAATTATGTTAAATAAATCATAATAAATTTTCATGTATAACATATAAATAAAGGTAATTTAGCTTTTATCAAAAAAATATTAACACAAAGACATTTAATGTCATATTAGCTTTTATTTAAACAAAACTTATTAGACAAAGACATTTAATGTCACAAGTCTAGTAATTTAATGTATTTCAGTGTCTCATCAAAGCAATAAGTATCCCAATAATTATGAAGTTATTTGTATTTGTTTATACGTAAACTTCAGTTTATTAATAAAGCAAACAACTGTGCAAGTTATTTTAATAATTTTGAAATATATACACTAAATGAAGCATTAAAATGTATTAATCTGTTTGTCTCGATATTGACAGGGAAATTTTCATAATCTTTAATAATTTTTACACACAGATGCATTGTAATTCTGATTCCTTGACCTGAATTTATCAGAAATATCTGCAAGTGATTTTTTGTTCAAATCACTGCATTGGCAAACCTAAAATTTTTTACATTGTTACTTAAGATCTGGATAAGTCTTTCAAAACAATTTGTTTTACTAGTGTCGCTGAATTTTCTGATGAATGCATCGCATTTATTACCAAATGGAACCTTTAATCGCTACTCAGTTGTTCCTCACCTGTTTCTTCAAATGTAGCAACTAAATACGTATGCCAATGAGTGGCATCCATTCATGAAAGATTTTGCTTAAATTTACAGTCTTAAGAAATTATAAAAATCTCCATAATAAAAACACACAATCAGATATTCTATATATCCATGATACACCCAAAAGTATGCCACAGTAATGTAAGTAGGATATGTAGACTTCTATTTGCCATGTGAAACTAGTTGACATTTCCGTGATGCCAAAAATTTAAAAAGTGAGGAAGGCTTTGGAAATACACATGCCGAAACTGTCAAAATTTAAAAATAAGAGATTTGGTTACCTATTAAGTCTCGCAGTTTGGCAGCAATGTTAATGCAATAAAAGAAATAGATGCCATCAAAGCCCACTGGGATGCTAAGAACTGAACCTATTGAAAAAATATAATAGGTCCTGGAAGTAAATGCATTGCACAGTAATAATTATATAACATAAAAAAAGGTCTATCAATTAAGATAATCCAAACCTCGCTATTAGTTAAAAACTGTCTCAGATGTGAAGTCAGCCTATTCATCAGAATGCCTGAACTACCTAGATGAAGGTCTGACGGCAGAGCGCAGGTAGTCGAACTGGCAACAACTTTTTTAGGATTTAGCCAAATAATGTGCAGTAAAAGTTTTAAAACTTAGGAAGATGCTGGGCAGTGCAATTCAGTACCACAAGAGATTGCATCCCGCATTAGAATGCTAAATGCTGACCCTGTTTGGTTGATCACGTTTTGAATCATCACACTGGTTGAATTACCAATGTTCAAGTGTCTTATTTACATGGCACTTGGTAGACTACCTGGAAAGTGAGAAATTCTAGATATACAAGGTTATCTATATATATATACCTTTAGGGTCACCAGATCTGAATTCATTATGTAAGACACACTTATATAGGTCACAGAGTCCCATCAAATATCCTCCAAGACCTCTGACATCAAGGTTGGGTTTCGCTTGGAGGAAGGAATTTCTTCTAGGGGAGTAAATGAAACTGGGTGTGGTAAGAAGAAAAAAGGAGAATATTGGGAAAAATGAATAACCCATAAGGAGATAAATTGGGTGCCTGGAAGCACTTCCGCAGAGAACCCGGTAAATGTAAACATTGCCAACTTTGGCGATAATAGTTCAAACCTGGTACCCAGCGGATTTATCCTTTTCGCTTGTTCGAAGTTTGCAACCATTCCTCTTGCGTTCATTTTGTTGAATTATCACTGTCGTTGTTCCCCATTTGCAGATTTATATTATTCTTCTCTTATTTATTATTATTTTTTCTGAATTTTTTAACAACGAATAGATAGAAATATTTTCGTAGATAGATGCCGGTTCTTGGTTCGGGATGAAAGTAAGAAAATGGGGTGAAAGCTAATTTGTAACACGGCTGTTCACGTTGTGTTCTTAATTTTTAACAGCTCTAAGAACCATGTGGTTTCCATCTTCTAAAATAATTTGCTTCCGTAGGCCGCAAAAATGTGCATGTGCATTTTAAATAATTAAGTAATGCTTTTATATTTATTATTAGTTATTGTCATCTAAAATTATGAGAATAAATCAATTTTGATGGCGTAAAATTTTAACAAGATAATATATTGTTAATGCTTTTCTAACAATAACCTTTCAGAGGATGGCAGGTGTGACATAAATAGATAATTAAATTGAAATAAAGAATATTATTTGATTATCTAAGATCACAGAATAGTTTGATGTATCACCATGGTCATCAAAATTAGCAAACCACTGCTGATGTAAGGAATATATTGTTTTCTGTGTTAACTGGAATTTAAGACAAATTTTTTTTGTTTATCATGTTTAATTTCAGTACATTAATACTAATTTATATTTTTAAATAACTTTTTATTTTCGTTATAAATGCTTATATATTGTCTTATGCTTAATATATTCTTTTCTGTGCTAACTTGAATTTAATAAAAATTTATTTTCGTATATCACGTTTAACCGGTTAGTTTTACATCTACATCCTTATTATCTGTGAATTTTTACTACCATATGCGTAATATATTGTTTTGGTTGCTAACTTGAATTTACATGCACTAAAAATCACGTTTACGACTCGGCTCATCGTCGATGGACCGCGAGCTTGGCGAGTAAAAATGTCACGGCGCCAACGGGTTCTCTGCGGATGAAAACCCGTGTGCCCCTTGCTTTTTGATGATTCTTTTTTGATGTCAAGATGGCCGCTACACAAAACCAAAATACGAAGTAAAAGAACTGCACAAACTGTGTCCATGTACACGTCGATCTGTTTTCACTTAAAAAAACATCCCAGAATTGCACAAACTAGGCCTTAAATTTGTCCATGTACACATCAATCTATTTTCATTTTTAAAAAAATCAGGAAGCTAAAACTATCGTGGTAACAAGAAATGAGATTTCATCGCCAAAATTTAAAAAAAAATTGTCGCTAATCGAAGGGGTACCCAATTCTACACTAGAGCAATATGCTACAGCTCAAATTGTTAAATCAGAGACACACAAGAGGTAAAACTATACATTTAAGATTTCAACAAAACAATAATTACAAACACAATTTTCATCAAAATTCTACGCAATGTTTTTAAAAAGTCTTTTGTAATGCACTTTTTAGAAAGCGAATTTCCTGAAAGCACAAATGATAGCTATACTCACATCTAACTGCAGAAAACAGACATAAATGCTAGAAGACTGTATAATGATCACACTTCGTTCGAAACAGCCATAAAGTATCCACAAATCGGGGACTCGGGAAAATAACCTATGGTTCCATTTAAATGTTTGACGCAGCGCTACTCCAAGAGATGGCGCTGAACGTCCACAAGCAACACCTTCTTAAACAGAAGCCCATATATCCATATCCATATCCTGATCCTAGCTGATTGGTATTCGGCCCTAAAAAGGGCCTTTACCAATACATATTTATCATACCCTGAGAAGGGCATCCTAATAAAAAATCCTAATAAAACGTATCCATCTAAAGATGGTTCTTCTGATTATGGCATAAGTGGCGCCATCCTTTGGCGGTGGAGAAAATTTCAAGTCGCAATGACATAAAGTTGAATATCATTTTAGTTGAAAATGGCATAAAGTTGAATAGCATATTAGTTGAAATGGCATAATTAGAGGCTATGGCGTTAATGAAGACTTGATTGTAAAGCAATTATAATGGCATATTGACGTTTGATGGCATAGAGATGCGTTGCGGCGTGCGGTGTTTCCCTGATGGAAGTTCGTGGCTGAATGATGTGCCAATGATGCCAATGATTTGAAAGTTTCGGAGTGCCTATGGTTCAAAACCATTTACCTCCACATCAGAATTACTAAAAGCGAGCAGAAATAGGAAAAATTTTGCATAAGTGATTTACTTGATGCACAATAGAGGGAGCCACTGGCTCGAGAAAGTTTAAGGATAGAGATGAGAAATAAAAAACTTAAGTATCATAATATTTTTTATAAGTTTTTAGGTTTTATAATTTTTTTTTGGTATTTTATATAAGGCTGAATGATGTGACTGGGCGGTCGTAGCCTTTTATAAGAATGTAGTATTCGCTGTGATTGGTCAAATTCTTAACACTTCGGAAATGGTAATTAATCGTCTCAACAGTAGAGTCCATAGTTCGTTAGTAAAATAAGTAAATAAGTAAATAGATGAATCTTGATTAAATACGTAGATAAAATAATTGAAATAATAGAAAATATATACAATATGTACATTTACCAATTTCCGTCGTGAAAAATATTTCGCGGTCTTTTGTATTTTTGAATCAGAGTATTATCATAGTTATTGAGTTGTTGAATATTTTCGTTGGGATGACTATTGCAGCTGGAGAAGAAGTTATGGCTATGTTTGAGTATTTCACTGTCTAATGGCTTGATGTTTAGGTCTCTATGGATTGCCAGAGTTTCGTACATACCATGGGGCGTCTATTAAAATTCTAAGTAATTTATTTTGCATTCTTTGCAATGATTGACGATTATTTCTAGAAGTGGCTGCCCAGGCCGGTGCTGCGTAAAGAAGAATTGGGCGGATAGCTTGTAAATAAATGATACGTTTTGTATTTAGATTTAATGTAGAATTCCTTCCTATTAATGCGTATATGGCCATGAATGCCTGATAGGCTTTGTTCCGAATATTGATGATATGGTTGCGGAAAGTTAGTCGATAATCGATGTAAACTCCTAGGTACTTGATAATATTAGTTCTTGGGATGTTTTGTCCTTCAATTTGGATATTTCCTATGTCTTTTTTAATTATTGTTCTTCTGAAGTAAATGAGTGCAGATTTGGAGGTATTAATTTTAATTTTCCATGCTCTAAAAGTATTGGGCTATTGTATTGATGCGGTTCTTGGAGATTTTTTCTAGCGTGAATAGGATTCATAGACTTGCTGAGGAGTGCAGTGTCGTCTGCATAGCTTGCAATAATTGTTTTGGTGCAATGGAGGGATATCATTAATATAGAGGCTGAAAAGTATTGGAGAGACGACCGATCCTTGAGCTACACCTGCTTTAGAAATTCTGGTGGAAGATAGGATATTTTTAATTCGAACTTGAAAAGAACGATTGCGTAGGAAATTTGAAAGAAGAATTATTAGGCTGGGTCGAAAGTTGTAGTTGATGAGTTTGATGAGCAATCCATCAATCCAAACCTTGTCAAAAGCTTTTTCAATGTCGAGGAATATACCAGCTACGGTTTCATTTTTATTGAAACTTTCGCCGATATATTCCACGATGCGTGAGACTTGATGAGTAGTTGAATATCCTGGTCTAAATCCGAATTGGTTATTGTTGAGAATATTGTTGGAAAAAACATAGGTTTTGATTCTTTCTGCAAGGATTTTTTCAAAAATTTTTCCTATTGTAGGTAGCAGGGAAGATTGGGTCTATAACTTGAAGGTTCAGCTGGGTTTTTTACCGGGTTTTTTGAGTACGAAGATGATGGCATGTTTCCATGCATCAGGAAAGTAATTATTCCTCAGGCAAGCGTTGAAAATATTAGTAATTAAGAAACTATTGTTTTGGAGGGAAGATTTTTCAAGTGCTTTGTTTGAAATTTGGTCGTAATCCAGTGGCTTTCTTGATATTTAGGTGCTTAATGATGGATTGAACTTCTCTAGGGCTGGTAGGAGGGTTGGTTGAAGTTCCTAGAGTTTTCTTGAATAAAGTTGTTAACATGATTTGGAGATATTGCAAGTCGTTTGGGACAAGGGTAGAGGATTGTTGGAAAATTGATCTTCATAATTATTTGCAAAAATTTCAGCAATTTCTTCGGTTTGTTGATTATTGTATTATTAATTTTGATGGGTCCAATGCTATTGTTGGTGTGTTTGAGAGCTTTTGCGATGCGCCAGACAGAGTGGTCGTCGTGGGAAAGGCTTTGCACAAAGCTTTTCCAGGCTTGGTCCGTATATTCTCTGATGATTTTCTTTAGTTCTTTGTGGCATTTGTTGAAATTCCTTCTATCGTTAGGATGTTGGGTCCGTTGTGCTATTTTTCTAAGTCTGTTCTTATCCCTGATTTTTTGTCTGATATGGAGAGAAAGGGTAATTGTGTCTTCTTTTTTGTGCATTTTTGAATTATTAATTGCATTATGGATTTGATTATTGAGGTGAATAATAGCTTCGTTGATATCTGTGGTGTTGCTGAGGTTGGGAGCAGCATTCACATTTCTCTGCATGATGTATTTAAAGTTGCTCCAGTTTATTTTTGTTTTTAATGGAGGTAAGCCATGCTTTAACCCATAAAGGGTAAAGTGAAGTGGTAAATGATCTGATGAAAGATCATTTGCTACGTATACAAAAGGAGCTTGAGGGATTTTGGCTAGGTAATAATAATATCTAAAATATCTGGTCTTCCACGTAGATTTGTGGGAATATAAGTAGGTTCATTAGGTGCATAAATATTCGATATGGCTATTGAGGAAGGATAATTATTGAGGATGATTCCGTTTGCATTAGTGGTTGAGCTGTTCCAGTTTGGGTGTTTACAGTTAAAATCGCCTGAGATAATGGTGGGATAACCTAGATTGAAGATATTATTGAGATCAGTGATATTAAGTAGGTTATTAGGTGGTTTGTAGACTGAGACTATTAAATAATTTATGTTATTACTTTTCATAATGCAGCCGCAGGCTTCAATGCTTTGGAGAGGTGGAAGAGTGGCTGGGTAACAATTTAAATACTTTTTAGTTGCGATAAGAGTACCTCCGCCTCTGTTATGCAGTCGATCAGATCGAAAGACATCATAGTTTGGGAGTTTGATATTGTCGGTAGCTTTAAGGTGAGTTTCGTTGAGGAGAAGAATATCGATGGCGTGCTGGATGAGGTAGTTTTTAATTTCGAAAAGTTGCCTTTTTATACCATTGCAGTTGAAAGAAACAAATTTAGCGTAGTTGATGTGTCGATGTGCTATTTTGAGAATTATACATTATGTTTTTCGAAAACCTGTAGTGCCTTTAAGGCGATATCCAATTTAGTAGTTTGAGTTGCTAGAATTCCTATATTCTATATAAAGGGTGTGTGGAGAGATTTAATGAAAGCACTGAATTCTTCGAATGATTTTTCTTCTTTATTATTGTTGGTATTTTTAATGGGAGCTTCTGAAGGAGGGCTTGTCGGTTGTTTAGACCCAGAGATGATCGCGGCGTATGATAGGCTATTGTAGATGGGCTCACTAATTTTTGATTGGTTGCGCGTACTGGTGGTTTTGATTTCATTCATGGCACTTGGGATTATGGTGGATTCTTTAATATTTTTTATTTTAGGATCTGTTTTGTTAAGAGGATGTTCCGGGCATTTTTTGTCGCAAGATGCATGTGATCCTTGGCATAATACGCATTGAGGGGTGAAGTTTTTCCCTTTATGCGGGCATTCAAAAGACTGATGTTGTTCTAGACATCTGACGCATCTTGGTGGGTTGTGGCATGCTTTCTGGTATGCCCGTACCGCTGACACTGAAAGCATTGTGTCGGTCCGGGCCTACCTTTGTATGGAACTATTCTGACTTTCATATCCATTAGGTATTTTATATCAAACATGCGTTTGCCTGAGGGATTGTTTGGAGTTTCGATATAATACATGGGAAGTTCTGTGGGGATACCATCGCGCATGCGCACCATTCTTATTACTTTAATTATAGGAATTTGTAATTTCTTAATTTCTTCTTTAATTTCTTCTATTGTATAATCAGTAGAGAATCCTTTTAATACGCCTTTTAAAGCTTTGTCTGAGTGTAGAAGATAGGTGTGATAAGGGATATGCTTAGTTTCAAGATAATTTTGAGCTGCTTTGTAATCGTCTATGCTAGTAACTTTTATTACGAAGTTTTCTCCTTCAAGTTTAGCTTCGAATTTTCCAAATTTGAGTGTTTCAATAAAGTCTTTTCTGATGTCCTTCCAGTTGATATCCTGAGTTATTACAAGGGGGGTATTTTATTGGCCGTTTGTTGTGGTTGTTTGAAAGGTAAGGTGTTGTTTGAGTCATTATTATCATCGTTGTCATCCATATCCTGATTATCTAAATTTTGGTCTATTGTAAGTGCATCGAATTGATTTGAAAGCTGTGTTGGAGGGGTGTTATCATTAGATAAATTACGTGCTCTTTTTCTAGGTGCGGTCCAGTTATCATTATTATTTTGGCAAATCCTACTTATGGCTTCATATAATGAAGTTTCGTGTTTGGGCAATTCGGAAAATAATTTTGCTAATTCCGTGTTCAATTCGTTTAATTTCTTTATATTTTCATCTGAGGGTTTTTCGTTGTTGGCATAAGTTAGTAATTTAATTTCACGTTCTATTTCTAAGCTTTTTGTAATCATTTGGCTGGCCTTTAATTTTTTCGTCATCTTTTTCCGTTTTCTTATTCATGGTCAAGAGAGATTCCGGTCGGTGATTGAAGAAGATAAATTTTGATCAAGCAATTTGAAGTAGTCACTGCCCTATTCTAGCTGGCTGTCGTATGCGAGAACAAGTGAGACATACTTACTAAAAATCAAGAAGCAAGAGAGCATAAAAAATTCAACCTAGTCCCTAGGGGCTCAGCGGCTGAATGTGTGTGTGTGGGGTTGAGCCAGAGCGACGCGAGATACTTATAACAGAAGTATGAATGACGTCCATTTTTGTTTCCGGGACAAAATCAGCTGGTAAGATACCTGAATAATCAGACTGAAGGAAATTCTCTATGGCTGTACTAAGCAGCTGTGGATTCTATTTTTGTGTATATACTTT